CATCGGTCCATTCTTCAATTATAGACTCATCAACCTCCATCTCCGAATCTTCACTTTCGCTTGAAACATTATATTTTTTACACAGTCTTTTTCTATGTCTATTCGCCTCATTTAATTCAAGATTGTTGCTGCTATCACTGAATTCATTTTCGTCGCAAGTGTTGTTCGGTGCACCCGATAAATCATCGAACAACAAATTCACTTTGACTTTCATTTTCATTACATCTATGTGTAATTTTGCTACTTTTATCGAGCCTATTACATATATAGAGCCTATTACATAAAATAATTTTTGTTATAAATTATCAGTAACAAATTGAAAATATAAATGATTTTTAAAAAGATGTTTTTTTACAAATAAAACACGAACTTTATAATTTCAAATTGTACAATAATAAAACATTTTATAAGGTACGGTACATATGACGAACGGCACAGATCTACCGATGTAATGGCTATACTGATTGATTATGTTTGCTTTTTCAGAATGTCAACATTTCGTTATTTCGCTAACTAAACGCCCAAGGCCTCATTATCCTGGTAACGTAATAAATCATCTGTCTCTCATTGCTTAAATCGTTGATTCTGTCGAAAAAACAAAAAAAATGAGATATCCCGTGACCCGTACGCAATGTATTAAACAATCAAGGACAGTGAATATTTTTTACAGGTATTTCTAAATTGTTTTTGATAGCTTATGGCTCTGTTTTATTGAGGAGTGAGTAATAAGAATTGCTGAGTGGTATATCTTGAAGGCATTTTTTTAAATTATAATCAAAAACATTGTGGTCATTGTATATTTAAATAAAATTATTCCAATGATCAGTACTATGACTCCAGGTTTTTATTATGTGAACATAAATGATATAGTCAATATTTTGCATAACGAATATTGTGTGTCGATGTTATATTTCGCTAACAGAAAGTTGTACATAAAAATATTCACTGATGACACGTTAATATATGTAACTGGAGATAGCAGTACGGAATTGGAGAGAAAGGTGAATGATGCTTTAAGCATTGTGGAAGAATGGATGAATAGGCCTAAATTAAAATTCAATGCATGGAAAACGTAATGCATAATTATAAGTAGTATAAGGAAAGAGAAGAGACTAAGAATTGTATGTGAATGTATGGATGAATTAGAGTTAGATAGAGTGGAAGTAATGAACTATTTTAGTATAATGATTGATGACAAACTTAGTTTTAAAGACCACTGTGAATTCAGGTTAAAAAAATTACGAAAGAAAGTTTTCTGAACAGAGTACTCCGATAAAGCAGAACTGCTCACAATACCATTATCAGTATATACAAGATGCATAGCTTATAAAGCAATAATTGCTCCTGATTTTGAGTAAAGTGCAACAGTGTTAGTGGAAATGAGTGTAAAAGAGTAGAATAAACTGCAGATTAAGGTTATAAAATCGAGAGCTCAACTTAAATTGATAAATTTCAATTTGAGTGAGAAAGACACATAATATGATGTAGACCAGATAATAGAGATGGTAGTGAAACAAAATCATATGGACAATACAAGTATATGATTCCACATCAAAATTTTGTAAAACGTAATGGAGACGGTAGTATGGAGAGGAGAGATGGATAATAGTTTAAGTGGATTATGCAATGCATGCTGCGATGTTAGAAAATGGAAAAAATATATTTTTAATGGAAGAAAATGCTGTTCCATGTATGGGTAATGATTTTGTGAAATAAATGACGCACAAGGTTATTATTTTATTGATTGAAATTATCAGAGTATATTTGTTGAAGTGAGATAGAATTGTTGACATTCTTGTGTCATAGTGTACAATTAGTTGTGTTGGGTATTTCTAAAGCCAGTAATGGTTAATAAAATTTGGAAGTCTGGATGATATGAATCCAAATGATGTATGTTATGATTTAGATTGTGCTGGATATTTCTGAGACATGGCTAGTGATATTGATAAGACTTGGTTGTCTTACTGGTAGGTGCGAATGCTTAAGTACGAGTAATTGTAGATTTTTTTAGAACTATCTAAGAAGAGATTAATGAATTAGGAAAGAAAATGGAAAGAGAAAACAATATTCTTATTGGTGGTGATGTAATAGCTCGTTCGGAATGTATAACAAATCTTATTTGTGATTCTATATTCTGGTGACTGTGTAGACCCATGAGTGTTACACTGTTATTTGAATATTTTTCGAACAGTGTGGTACACCTTTATTCTTTCGTAATGTTCCGCACACATTTGTTTGTTTTTGTAGCAGCTCTTTTGTGATTGCTACACTATTGTAGTAATTATCCATATAGATATCATGCCACAAGTAAAGGTACGGTGACAGTACCAACAAAATGGTTTCTTTTAGTTTTATTCCCCGGGTATAATATATATCAAAGTTACAAATGTAACTAGATCGTGCTTCGCGCAACATGCGTACTAATATTCCTTACTTGACAATCGAATTATAAGTGCGGAAGCAAAGCTTTCTGCGCCATGGTATAACGGCTTCGTATAATGATAATTTTTTGTTGGTTTATAGACGGTTCGAAATTTATGTTTGAAATGGTCTGTCATGGGTTTAATCTTGTCCAATCGGTCTTGACATTTTTCGTTATCGTTGAGATGCCAGTATTTCCAAATTTGGCGAAATTTCTTGGCATGACTCTTCCGAAAATTGGTGTGCAAATTAATGGACTTGTTGTCCAGTATTCATCTTTTTCTGACTTTTTTACTAATCTCATCAGAATTATTAAAGCGAGAAATTTATTCATCTCCTCAGTGTCTGTATCCGTCCACTTTCTATCTTTACATTCTTCGATATCAATTTGTTGCCGTTTGTGATATAGATTCGTTTCAGTTACGAATAATTTCATTAAATCTTCACCAAAGAAAAGGTCTACAGCTGATTGTATGCTCCATTCATCAAGCGATATTTGCATTCCTGTTTGTTCCTTACAGTTTTGCATATTACTGGTGCCATTTGTTCGGCTCCATTCCATTTCCTTTTCGTCGGAAATACTATTATCCTCCTCATCGGAATCTATTACTGGCTTCATCAAATTTTTCAGTTTTCTAACAAGAATTTCCCTTCCACTGTCTGAATCTACCCTGTCATTTGATTCTGGCGCACTAACATTTGACAGGTTATTGGCTTATATCTCGTCGTTACTTTTACTCATTTTTGAGGATTGGATATTTATATGAATATAAATAGGTAGGTAGATAGATGGACATAAATAGATAGATATATTATAGTAGATATAGTAATCGATACTCCGTGATCCTAATCGATACTCAGTAGACAAACACTTGACAAATAATAGACAAACAATAGATGAACAATAAGCAACTGACGCTTTGCAAATATTTGTATACATGAACCCAGCCGGTAACTGATGATTGCGCGAAGGCACGTATACGTGAGTTCGGCCGTCAAAGTGTTAATATTTGGTCTTAGAAATCGATTCCATTCATTCCTTTGTTGTACTCTGTAATAAAATTTGGTTTTGTAATTCGATTGGACCCTTGTGTTGTCATTTTGACTGTTTCATGTTTTGTCGTCATAATATAAACATCTCGCTTGTCTTTCCATTTTATAGTAAGTATTCAGTTGCAGCTTCTTATTGCGTATTCCCCCTTTTTAATTTTACATTACACAAATCTTTTGGCATATGCTTTCTATTTCCACGTACTGTGACAATTACATTTGTCTTATAATTAAACGATAATGTCATAAACAATTTTGGGGAAGAAGGCCAGTTATTTATGTACAAAGTGTGATCTCTGTGCAACACTACCTCAGAACTCTCTTTGACAACACTTTCCGAAGCGCTAATCTTCACGGTTTATTTTATCGCGGCCTGTATATATTTTAAATTCATAGTAATAAGTCTTATCGAATGCCCATTTCTCGTAAGATACGATCGCGTTGTATGGATCTAGACGTGCTTTGTGTGTTCGATAACATTTTTGTAGGACGTAATCCATCATCTGTCTCTATCGTCCCGCATCCTGTCCCACATGTGCGGTCGTAAATCCTTCCTCTTGTTGTTCTAGATTTAATTGGTAGTGCGTTTATTCAAATTTTGCTAGCATTGACGAAGGCCCGCCCTGATAGTAACTGAGAGCCGTTAGTTATTTATTGATATTGATGGAGGATTTTCCTTGATTCCCTTAAACTGCCGCCATCTGTTGAGCCATGAAGAGCTTTCGCTTATCTCTCTTCCAGCTTGCCTATTTGCTAGTCCGTTCTGATCTTCTCGAGTCGGCCGCCGGCCATCCTTGCATGTTTTCGGAAGAAGTATCTCCATGAGATCCTTCAGTTCAGCCGTTACCTCGTCCTGTGACCACATTGACATGTTCTTATAAGTCGTCCCCAGTCTACCAGCCCGAAATTTGGAGCCAGTAAGCGGGTTTGAATTGTCAATTTTCTTAGAAATAGTCCTTTAAGGTTAATTATTGGATCAACTAATTCAACAAAGCTTACGTCTGGTTCCATAAGTGTCCCCTTCCGTAGCTTTGCCAAGTAACGTTGTACTAAGTCTTTATGACACTGGTAGCATCTTTGACCCTTAATGATTGTTTGCGTGCGGTTAGGGAAATACGGCATGAAAGCCACATTCAAGGATTTAGCGCCTCTTTGGAGCAATCTTGCATCTTGTTTCGCGAGGACGCTAGATTCTTCATCACTCCATGGCGTCTTCTGGGTTTCCAGATATGATAGACTTTTGTTATCATATAAATTTTTGTGCTTCCGCTGTTCATGCACACTTCTTCCCCTAGCTTTATCAAAAGTCCTGTCGTATCCGTTTATTCCGCACCGATAAGTTGGTGGACCATAAGTGGGGTTGGAATAATCTGAGTGTTTTCTAGCATTAGTAAAACTATTCATGGCTCTTCTCTTGTTCTTGGGCCGACTTGAAAGCGGTCGAAGAGAGCTGGCAATTCTCCAGGACCATGATTTCGCTGAGACAATTCTTGGCCTATCCTTCCTCAGGAGAGTTTTATTCGAAGGACGATTGATGGTGGAATCTGGTAATGAGAGACTGCTTGGTAACTATGACTTAAAAGAATTATAGTTACTCTGAACGTTTACCCGTGCTTGTTTGAATTTCTTCATGTTGACATTCAGAGCATTTGGCAGAGCACTTTGCATCAACACCCGTGAGTCCCATCGCTTTGTTTTAATTAGTTATTCGGAATTCCATAATCCGTGGCAGTATATTGTAAAGGTGGACACCCGAGGGCGCCTACATCTATACTACCTCGCCCATTAGGGCATACGCTACGGAACTATCTACAGACAGCAGCCACCACAACGAAGAGAACGGATTTGGAAAAATCCAAAACTCCTGCCGGCGGGCAAGGTGAGCAGTTTAGCCACGACCAACATCCTCGCAGCAACGAATCGCCACGTTGATGCCAGCCGTGCCCACGAGGAACCACGGGGAGGACCACTCACAGTACCACGACCCTTGGTACTCGTTCCGTAGGATGGGATGGGATTGGAAGGATAGAATTAGGGAGAGTGTTGGGTGATATGGAAAAAAAATAGGGCGTTGCGTTCGATCATCTCCGACCCTATCCAGATCGAGAATGGGTTTACCTGAGAAGATTACAGGCTCTCATCCCCCATCACAAGGACTCCGACAATCCCATCTGAACAGGACTTACGAACTAACAACCCTTGATAAGGAGGGTTTCTTTGCAAAACTCCGCGAAGAGTGAGAAGGCCTCTGCCGAGTGAATATGCCTCGCTGCTTCCGCCCAACTCCTTTCACTGAGAATTTCCCCCAAAGCCACCCTTTGGGGTTCAAAAACCGGACAGTCGACGATTTGATGCAAAACCGTGTCTTCTTCGCCACATTCGCATGTTCCTTCCATGGTGATGTTCAGCGACTTCAGCTTGCCCTTAAAAGTTCCATGTCCTGTAAGAAACTGAGATGTGAAGTGGTTAGGATAGACGAAACGGGCACCCATCTTTTCCTTGATGTCCGGGAAATACGCGTACGTAGTCCTTCGTTTTAAGGAGTTCTCCCATTTGGACTGCCAATCCCTGAAAATTTCTTCGTCGGCCTGTCTTACCATTGCGCGCTTATTTTTCGCGCCTTCCAGTTTTCGCATCGCTGTTTCAATGTTCCTATCTTCCCTAATACTGTATAATTTTCTACGCTTTAATAAATGGAGATCTATCGATGGCTCCGCCGCCACGACGCAGAGGGATTCCGCCGCGGTTGTACGGTACGCAGATGTTACCGAAATGAGGGCTGATCGTTGAGTCGCGCTTAACTTTTTCAGATCTCATTCGGTGCAGAGATCCGACCATCCTGCTGCCGCGTACGTGACCATGGGGATAAATACGCCTCGATAGATCGCCCATAGAGCCCAATGGCGGAGTCCCTATTCTATGGCCGCTAATCTATCTAACTTCGCGAACAATGGCCCGATTTTGTGGTTGAGGTACCGGCAATGCGTCGTAACCGCCAGGCCTTTATCAAAGTATACCCCGAGGTATCTAACGGAGTTCCTAAATTTTACGGTTTTATCCCCTATACTAATGGTGGGTGGTCTACTAGCTAAGTCGATCTTTTTTGATGTCGTTTTCCGCTTCCTATCCGGGCGTAGCCTCTCCTACCTATAGGTTTCCTCTTAACCCAGTCACTTTTCCGTACGATAGCCTCCGTCTTGCGTTCAGAGATAGATAATTTGGCCGTCGAGCCCCATCCGGTAATGCTTTTAACCACGCGATTTCTCTTCTCCTCAAGTTCCTTTCGAAAATCTCCATCTAGGGTGACGAGTAGGTCGTCCGCGTTGACTTCCGATGAGTATCCGGAGGAGCTGGACAAACATGACTTTCCAGCAGGTGGGGCCTATTACCAATCCTTGTGGGCATCCTCTCGAAGCCTGTTTGGGAATCTCATGAGCGATTTTTACCTTACGGTCCGCGAAGTAGCTTGTCATTACATTGAAGACGTTTCTCGGGCAGTCCCGGTCCCGGAGTGCCTTAAGAACTAAGGCCCATCAAACATTGTCGAAGGCTCCCGAGATATCAAATAACAATGCAATGAGATATCTCCGTGAGGAGGCAGAAATGATTCGGCGCATCTCTACTATCGCGTCTTTGGTGGAGCGTCCCAGAACAAAGCCATATTATTTGTCCAACAGTTTAGCCGGAACGAGGGATGTTTCATTAAGACGCAACTTCAGCAGCCTTTCCAGAACCTTTACTACTACGGAGAGAAGACAAATGGGAAGGTAAAACTTGGAGTCCTCTGCGTTCTTATCCACGCCTTTAAGAAGTGCTCTTAAGGAGCCCTCTTTCCAGATGGATGGGAAGATAACCCATTGGAGGCATCCGTTAGAGGTCTACGAATAGGGATACGATGGCGGAAAATGCTCTCTTGAGCACGCATACCTCGATAAGATCGGGCACCGGGGTCCTTCTGTTTCTGAGGGATCCTATTACTCGCGCGACCTCTTCCTTCGTGAAGAGGGGGGCATCTTCGGTTTCAGAGACGTTTCGGGAAGTACTGCGTACCGCACGCTGTTCCGTTGTGTCTTCGGACATACAGTCGTGCGGGACATGCGTGTTGAAGAGGACTCTAGCCGTATCGCGAACGTTCACGGTTTTGTCGCCCTATCGCTTGAGGATATTTATCACTCTCTCAATGCGGAGTTTTCCCGCCTGCTGTTTATAGATGTATCTCCACGCGTTGCCCTGTTCCGTGACGAATTTCCGCCAGTTTTCTAATTTCGCACCTCGTACCGCCTTACTGTATTCCCGCAACGACGAACGGTATTCGCGCATTAACCCGACACGTGCCTGGGAATTTCTTTCCCTCTGGAAATGGCAGTCGAATGGCAGTCGAAGAGGACAACCATGAGAGAGCTATCTGCCAGAAAGACTCGCACCAAGGAAGATCCGCGGGAGGCCAAGGGACGAGATCGAGTTCGAATCCCAGTACCGTAAACGGAACTGTTCATCTCGTCCAGGTTCGGCACGTCAGCCAGACCCGCTTCCCTACCAAGGCCGATATTGCCCGCTCATCGGAGCCAAACCTTATTCCGAAGTAACGGATTCAATTTGACGACTTCCCTTATCTACCTATTAAGTACTTCATTTAAAGGGACTTCATCTTAGAGACATGCTGCGGATATGAGAACGAACCGGCGCGTGGCCCACTCCTGGATTTTCAGAGTCCGAGGGGAAGATCCGGACATCGCCATAAGTGCAGTACTCTTCACGTTCCTAACCCTATCCCTCTGCTAGAGGTTTCCAGGGAACTCGAACGCTTATATAGGAAAGAAAACTCTTCCTCGGTTTCCCGACTGCATCTACAATTCATTTTGGGTTACCTCGACGAATACTCTTACGAGGGCTCGAATTGCATGCGATTCCGTTACCGGTATCCGGAATAGGAACCGGATTCCCTTTCGCCGGACGAGTGTTTCGTTACTTACGAACAATATTATGTATGCACAACGTCATTGACATAGGATTTCTCCTAGGGCATAGGATTGACTGACTCATATGCAATGTATGTACACAAGAAACCCTTCTCCATGTCAGTTTTGCAGGGCCTCGCTGGGGTATTTGCTACTGCCATCAAGAACTGCACCGATGGCGGCACTAGACAGGCTCAAGCCAAGACCGTTCTGCGCACACCGCCCTCCTACTCGTCAGGGCTTCATAGCGACGCATCGTAAGGGTAAACCGCTACACTTGCCGCTGACGGCAGAGTATGGACGCGACGTTTTAACGCCATCCATTTTCAGGGCTAGTTGCTTCGGCAGGAGAGTTGTTACACGATACTTAGCGGATTCCAATTTCCATGGCAACCGTCCAAATGTCTTAAGCAACTTACGCTTTTCATGGTATCCCATAAGCGTCGATTTAGGCGCTTTAACTCTGCATTAGGTTCATTCCACAGAGCCAGTTTTGCTAACAAAAATTGGCCCACTTGGCACTCTGATCCGAAATCTCTCATGTCTTCATAGTTCAAACAACCAAGAGATCTCACTCATTTAAAGTTGGAGAACATGTTGAAATAGTTTCGGCCTCAAGGCCTATAGCCATTCGCTTTATCAGATGAGAATCGTTTGCGTACGAGGTGAACGGGCGAGAGCCAGCTATCCTGAGGGAAACTTCGAAGGGAAACATCTACTAGATGGTTCAATTATTCTTTCGTCCCTATACTCAGTTCCGACGATCGATTTGCACGTCAGAATTTCTACGATCCTCCATCAGCGTTTCTCCTGACTTCGTCCTGACTAGGCATCATAGTTCACCATCTTTCGGATCACAAAGGGTACTCTGGGTACGTCTCTTTTTGCAATGAGAACGAGACTCTCCGGGAGTGCGGAGCCGCATCTTAACGCAGTCTATACTCTTGAAATGGACCTTCACTTTTATTACGCCTTTAAGCTTTGCAATCCCAGTGACATCTTAGACTCCTTGGTTCGTGATCCAAGACGGGTCCTGAGATTGTCCAAAGCAGTAGCGTCGCAGACTGGTATTATTGTGTATTTCCCGTCCAAGTACTCCGCCTGCCAAAAGCTGGTCCGGCTCGGGGACGGCACCAGGTCCGTACCTCCGAGACACTGACCGCGCTTGCGGCGGTCCCGACGCGGTTCGATAATTGCGGCAAGATACCTTATAAGTTCGACCGCCGGGCAGCCGGCCGAGTCTACCGCTCGGAAAGTAGAAAGCTATCCAATGAGTCGCAACGTTCTACTAGAGGAGAAATGCACGACGATGACACCGTACAAGGCATGAGTGATAACGTGTTGCCAACTGTATTCGGCCACATCGCTCACCCGGCCGAGGCTGAGCCGCTGATTCTAAATCTCCTTATTCGATCTTTCCTATAAACTATACCAGAACGTTTTCACGTACAATTGAACTCTAACTTCGAAGTTCTTTTCAACCTTCCCTCATGTTAATTTTTCAATATCGGTATCTTGGTCATATTTATCCTTAGATGGAGTTTACCATCCACTTAGAGCTACACTCTCAAGCAACTCGTCTCTAAGGAAATATCTTTCGGAGACGTTGCACCGGCCGCTATGGGCCTAGCATCCTCTACGTGTAAATGGCCCCATTCAAAATGGATTTGGACGCGGTATTGCGCTTCGGCATGTAAGGCAGATCCTCCCGAACAAAATATTTCCCTGCGGCTGTATCGGGGAATTTATTGCTGGAAGGCTTCCTCTTCCCCCCACGCAGTTACAAACGAAATCTTTGTTATTTTCTCCTCTTCTGCTTAATAATATGCTTAAATTCAGCAGGTGATCTTGCCTACTCTGAAGTCGTCTTAGATTATTTTAATCGATATAGGAACATACTAAATAGAAGAAAAGAGAAAAAGTTGCGGAACGAAAAGAAATATCCAACGAAGAAAGGTCGTATAAAGCAAAAAACGCCTTCGTTCGAGGACACAACAATCTCAATCAACAAAACTCGAGCCATGGCTATAGGGGCAGTGA